AGAGGGAATATCTAGACTGATGAGACCATGGACTTTTCGAAGTATTAAAGAAAATGAGGATAGTAATCCCTACACTACCTACCCTACTGCATTTTGGTAAGAAAAGCATTTTGTAAACTTCTGGCTCGAGTGATTTACAAAGTGTTACTGGAAGAGATGAGATGTGAGCAGCCTTAAAGACAAGGTACCCATAGGCCTATACCCCAAAGACATAAGAGAAAGACAAAAAAAATGTATAAAAATATTTACAGCAACTTTTTGTAGTAGCAATCAGAAACTAAAGGGATGGCCATGTATTTGGCAATGGCTAAATATATTATGGTATATGACATATAATAAAACATTATTGTGCCGTTAAAAAAAACTGGGAAAATTTATATAAACTGATGTAAAGTGAGGTGAGCAGAACCAGGAGAATTTATACAACAATAACAACACTATAAAAATGGCTTTGAATGGCTTCAGAATTCTGGTCAATGTAACAACCATTTTCCAGCGGACTGATAATGAAACATTCTCCTAACAGAGAAGTGATGGACTCAGTAAGAAGAATGAGACATCTACTTTTTTGACATAACCAATGTAGAAATTTGTTTTGCTTGACTACGTATATTTGTTTATAAAGGTTTGGGTTTTTTTCTCCTCTCTCCCTTCCCCCTCATTCTCTGTATTGTGGGGAGAAGAAGGGAGGAAAGGAGCAAAAATAGATTTTTGTTCATTGAAAAAAAAAGAAAAATAAAGATGAGCAGGCTTTGAATAAGTGAAAGGTAAGAGATAGGGCACATCAGGCAGGGATGACATGACACAAAACTTACAAACAGAATAAAGGTGGAATTTTTAGGGACCCATGAGGGGATTGCTCTTGATAGGTAAGTAGCTTGTGTTAGAAAAAAGGAAGGGAAAGTAAGGTTGGCTAATGGAATGTGGCCAGATCTTAGAAAGCATTGAATGCTTAGGAGTTTGTGCTTTATCCTATAAAAAATAGGAAGATTAAAAAAAATAATAATAATAAAAAGGAAGATTTTCAAAGCAGGGGAGGGAAATGATGACAGGGATGTTAAGAAGACTTGTGTTAACATGCTCTATAGGTGAGAAAAGAGATACCAAATGAAGTGAAACCAATTAGAAGGCTATTACAAGAATCCAGGCAGAAGGTAAAAAGGACCTAGAATAGAACAGAACATACATCACCATAAGCACCTGCCTGTACCTATCAACACAGATACTAGCATCCCCAGGAAGCATTGCTATCAGACTGACACTTGCAGAAAGAAAGGGACCCACAGTAAAGCAGTATAAATTCAACTTCGGCAGATGAATTACACACAAGCTCAACTCTCTGAGGTTCTGCTCCAAGATTATAACGCAAATGGAAAAAACAACAACAAACAAAATCCGTGACAACTGTGTAACTATAATGACCAAGACTGACCTTGTAGAAAATATAAGAAAATGTATTTCCTTCCCTTCTTTGGGAAGTTGGAGGAGTTTAGTAGGGAACATTATATTACACTGTCAGCTTCATTTGCTATTTTTTGTCATTTAAGTTTTTAGGTGTTTTAGGTGTTATTTAGTTTTGCTGAACTGCTTTATTCCTCCCTCTTTCCTTTTTACTTTCTTTCAAGGGATGATTAGAGAAAGGGAAGGAATAGTTTTGTGTAACAGGCAGACTGGTCAATGAGAGTCTGGTCCTCAGAACTTTCGCAATATCTCCTGGCTGGTACCAACCCACCTAAAGTTATGGCAGTCATGATCACACTTGGCAGATAAAGCAGCCTGACCATATGTCTGTGAACACATGGTGGTTCTGTTGCTTCTGCCTCCACTGTTTATTCTTTACCGATCTTCAGTGACTGAATATCTGAGATGGAATAGAAGAACCCTCGGAGATCCAAAAGCTAGCTGAGTCTGCCAGCCCCGGTGGAAGTGCACCAGCGGTAGTCAAGCTCAATAAGGAGCCAGCCCTGGGGAACAAGCTGTTTGCCCCAGCCCAGAAGTGAATTAACTCGGCAGTCATGACTTTATGGCTTACAAGCAAGACTATATGTTACCCAAAACTAAAATTGGTGGGGGCTCTAAGAAGGGAGGAAAGGACTGGAAATACTCCCCTCAGAGTAGGAGGTGGGATGCTCTGTAAAAACGACTTAAAGTTTGAGCCTACTCCTCCCAGGGCCTGAGGTATACAGAAGGGAGAGTGGGCTCCCAGTTTGGAATGTTTTCATATATTAGTCCTTGCTATAACTTCCCTTTGTAAAAGCTACTTGGATATCAATTTATTAAAACTGGTAATAGGGAGCTATCAATTGATTATTGATACTGGAGAACCCATACCAGATGAGGACTCATGAGCTATAAGACTACAAAACCACCTCAACCACTTAGGGTTAATCCGAAGGTAGTAACAGCAGTGCTCTGAGGTCCAGCCTGGTAGTCTGAGTGTAGGTTGGGAGACTGAGCCCCAGAGGGGCTTCCTGTGCACCTTTGGAAAGAATGTGATTTAAAGAAGCAGCCAGGTGGCACAGTGAATATCATGCTGGACTTGGAGTCAGAAAGATCTGAGTTCAAATCCAGCCTCAGACACTAGTTGTGTGACCCTGGGCAAGTCATTGAATTTGTTTGCCTTGGTTTCCTCAATTGTAAAATGGAGATAATAACAGCACCTACCTCCAAGGGTCGGTGTGAGGATCAAATGAGATAATATTTTAAAGTGCCAGGCACATAGTAGGTACTATATAAGTGCTTATTCTCTTTTTCCCCTTCCTTTCCCCTAATAAGGTCCCTTCTAGAGCTGACTTTCTGTGATTTTCAGTGTAAAGTTTCTTCCTGCTCCATCATTCTAGGACTTAAAGGCAGCCACATGCTGTAATGGATAGAACATTTGACTTGGAGTAAGGAAGCCCTGAGTTGAACTCCTGCCTCAGTCACTTACTAATTATATGACCCTGGAAAAGTTACTTAACCTCTCTCAGCCTCAGGTTCCTCTTCTGTAAAATGGAAGATAAAAATAGCCCCTCTTCCCAGAGTTATTGTAAGGATCAAGTGAAATAAAGCATAGGAAGTACTGTGTAAACTATCATTCCTATAATAGGAGGTCTTTTTGGTGGTATTGCCCTTTGCTTCTATAACCAGGAATCTTAGGTAACTTAGCCAATCAGATATGATTAAAGAAAAGGTAACAAAGGCTTCCAGGGAGGGGTTTGTGGTATGATGAGGGGATTCTGGTCTTCAGCCACCTGCTGCCTATCCTCAGTGCCAAGTTCATGCAAATGGAGCAATGACTTTCAAATACTGGAATAGGGCTCTCTCCTGATCCAAAGCCTTGGATAGAAAAATAGTGTCACTTCTGAGGGATGACGTGCTCTTAAAATACCACCTGCTCTGGCCACCAGACTGGCGCCAGGGCCAACCATTCCAGCACAGGGATTCATTTTGTTAAGAAAACTCGGCTGCTCACAGGTGTCTGGGAGAAATCAGAAGTTGCCATGATGTCAGTAGGAGAACAACAGCTGTCCCTTCTCTTTCTTTCATGTGTATCTCTTGTTCTCCTACTCATCCCACTAGGCCCCAGGAGAACAGATTTCACCAGCAAGGGAAAAAGAAAAACTAGGCTTCATTAGGCTTCCCTAACTTCTGCTTTTATGCACAAGAGTGAAGGACTACAGTTACTACCCAGAAAAATAGGAGCTAAGGCATTAAAATAAAGGAGAAAATCCATGGTTACTCAATTCGCAAGTCTTTATAGAGCCCTTGTAACAACTTAGATTTCCATAGTGGGTTTATAAAAGGCTTTCCTTACTGCTTTATCCCTACAGAGAAAGCAGTGCAGGTGTTTTTGTTCCCATTTTACAGATGAAGAAACTGAGATTCAGAAATGCAAAACAACTTGTCCAGTCACCAAACTCCTAAGTGTCAGAATAGGAACTTGAACTCAAGGCTCCTGATTCTCAATCCAACACCTTCCACTAGCAGGCTACCTCTAAATGTCTAAAAATTGGGGTGGGGGGATAGGTCGGTGGTGCAGTGGATAGAGTTCCAGCCTTGGAGTCAGGAGGACCTGAGTTCAAATCCAGTCTCAGAAACTTACTAGCTTACTAGTCACTTAACCCTGATTGCCGAAGCAATAATAAATAAATAAATAAATAAAGATTGGGGAAGGGCTGAACAAATTGCAGTATATTCAATCCTTTTTTAGATCTTTGATATCCCTGATATAGGCGCTGTCTCCTCTGGCAGTTATAACCATGCCTGCCTTCTTGTCCTCTGCAGTTTCTGTCCATGTCCCTTCTAAAGCCTTGAAGGGCTTCTCTCTGCCCTTTTCAGATTTTGAGCATACTAATCCAATACTCAGGTTGTCTTACCTGTTATCACTCAATCTAGATCAAGGGTTGTTAACCTAGGCTTTTCAGACCTCCAAGATATCTATAAAGAGATTTCAGGGGATCGGTGTAATTAGATGGGGGGAAAATTACATCTTTGTTTTTGCTAACCTCTAATTCAACTTAAATATTTCCTTCTGTTATACATGTAGGCAAATAAAGCATTATTCTGAGGAGTCCATAGGCTTCCCCAGACTGCCAAAGAATTCCATGACATACACACAGAAAGGTAAAGAACCCCACCTTTTTGTTATCTTGGTACATTACTTAGCTCCATTTGTCCAACTCTACCTCATTACACAAATAAGGAACTGAAGCCCAAGGAAGTTAAGTGACCTGTACAAGGTAGTCACACAGATAGGAAAAGTCAAAAGAAGAATTTGAACCCAGATCCTCTGACCCTCCCCCACCAACACACACACACCCTGCATCAATCCAGGGTTTTGTTTTGTTTTTTATTATATCCCACTGCTTCCTCCTCCTATTCAAATCAGAGTTTAGTTTCTTCTTCTTGTTTGTCCTTTCTAGAAAAGAACTATGACATCAGGGAGGTAATGGCATGACATGCAGGTGAATTGGATTTAAGTGAGGGAGGGCTGTGCAAAGTCACTAGCCTTACTTTCTCTTCTGGAGCCATCTGGGTCCAGTGGCCAGATATAGATCAGGACAACTGGAGATGGCCCTCAGTTTCTTGCCCATCTACAGGATATCCAAGATATGTGTCCCAAAGTACTAACTCAACTATCCAACTGCATATCACAGTTGGGACAAGAGGCAGTCTTATAACATTCTTCATTCTCTTCTTTTTTTGTAGTTTGTATGACTAGGCCAATGTCTTTTGAAGGTTGTGGATTTCATTGAAGAGATAATGTTCCATGTAATGGAATATTTGTCCATTCAAACTGAGTACTATAAAGAAAGCTGGAAAGACATGCCAAATGAGGCAGAGGGAAGAAAACAGAATCAGAACAACATATACATGAGCTATTACATAAAAACAAATCTATAGAGTTCACAGACTTCGAGAGGAGATGCAAAGCAAACTATTATTATTTTGTTAAATTGTGCATTCTAATGTCAATAGTTCTGATTATATTGCTACATTAAGGGTTTCCCCTTTATTATGATGGGCTGTTGGCTTATATATTCATTGAGATTATTAGGATGAAAATAAAAAAGTACTTTTTTTTTACCTTCACAGTCATATTTGATACTCAACACAACCCTGAAAATGGGGCAAGGGAGGAACTACTCAAAGGATTCTAGGGAATCTGTATGGTATAATGGAAAGAACATCGGTTCTGGAGTCTAAGGACACTCTATGTGGCCTTCAGCAAGTCACTTACCTCTCTGGGCCTCAGTCTCCTCATCTTTAAAATGAGGAGATCAGATTAAATGGCTGTGAGGTCCCTTCCACTTCTACATCTGTGACCCTGGGATGTTTTCCTTCCCATATCCATTGCCTTAGACAGGTCACTTCCTGTCTTGAGTTGCAGCTTTTTCTTCTTTCAAAGGAGATCTAGATCTCTATTTTGTTGTTGTTGTTTCCATCCTGTCCATTGAAGGATACACTGAGATGAGAAGCTTAGTAATCTTGTTGGCACTATGAAATCCTCTCCACACCTCATGCCCCCAGGAATATCCTAATACCTGGAAACTGGAGGGCTGTTGCTTTAAATTTGCCCTACACAGCCCTGGAATTCTGTTAAATCTGAGGAGTGAGATAGTGTTCAAATTTACATAAAATCTCTTAGTAAAGAAGGATCACATAGGAAAAGGACTTAGCTTGATTTGACCCCAGCCCAAGGGCTGTTTGCTCTAGTGTTACCTTCACCTTGGGCACGTTGTTAGGGCCGGGAGGACACATGCAGGTCTGAAGCAGGTGGAATGGCTTAGCCTTGGCCCTCTTCTGCTCTGGTCTACCACATGATCATGAGCAGGCTGGGATCACCTTCATAAAATCCAACCTGCAGTCTGATAAGCAATCACTGTTTGATGTTTCAGCCTAGCAAGGTGCTGAAGTGACCTTTTACTCAATGTCTTGTAGAGGCCAGCAAAAAAGATCTTATGTATCTGTAGAGGAAGCAGGGAGAAGATGTTTTATGGTACTGCCAAACTTTAACATTCTATCTTTCCAGCAGAGCAGTAACTAGGAAGAGATGGGTGACACCCTTGTCTTTGGTACATAAAACTGGAGGAGGTAGAAAAATATATAAAATATACATCAACTGTCCCAAACATTCCAGGCCAATAGAATGGGGCAGGGGAAGGATGAATTGTCATCTTTTTTGCCCTAAGTATAAAATTAACTGAGAAGCTAGGTGGCACAGTGGATAGAGCAGTGGGCCTGGAGTCAGGAAGACCTGAGTTCAATCAAGCCTTGGACACTTACTAGCTATGTGGCCCTGGGCAAGTCACATAACCTTCTTTACCTCAGTTTCCTTATCTGTAAAATGAGCTGGAGAAGGAAATGGCAAACCACTCCAGTACCTTTGCCAAGAAAGCCCCAAATGGGGTCATGAAGATACGACTGAAATGACTCAACAATAACTGCAAAAAATTAAGTACTTTGAAGGCTCGCTATGAAGTTCCTCTGGCTCTGACATTTTCTGATTTATTCCAGTAGTTCAGTTCTTACTTTCTTTTTACAGGTTGCTATGGCTGCCTTTGTAGAAGGCGGTAGTCCAACAAGCACTAGATAGATTACTTCTGGTAAAAGCAAGATATAGTTCCTGGGGCACCCTGATAGCTAAGGAATTCCAGTTAATCTCCTCTCCCTTCCCCACAGGCTGGGCTGGCCAGGGCAGGGCAGGGGAAAAGTAAGATCTTGATCAGAACAGTGTTTTGTGACCTACAGTTACTACTTTCCATGGAAAATCTTGCCTAACAAGCATTTGGGACTGGGTATGGGTATCTACCCAAGGACAAAAATAAAAGAGAGAGCCAGTGCTCTGGGCTTCTCAGCCAGGGTCAGAGAGGTTGGGCTAGTCCTTTGCACACCTGAAGAGTTGACCAACTTTATTTCCAATAGACCAACCCTCTTTCTGTGCCCTTTGATGTATTCTTGGAATGGTTTCTTGTGCCTCTTCCACCATCAAAATCAGTACCTTGTATAGGAGCTTATAAACTCATTCACACTAAATTGTTGATGACTGATACAATTTTCTTTTTAAATAAAGACTTGGGCTAAAGGAATGAAGCTCCAATTGCAAAGTTTTAGGCATCAACCTGTACATTGGGGATGGAGTGTTTTTTGGCTAAGGGGCAATGTTTTAAGTGCACCTTCACTGAATATGCCTCTGAGAAACGTATGTTCTACAGAGAGGAATATACCTGTAAAAAGAAGGCACCACTTGGGGCAGCTAGGTGGCGCAGTGGATATGGCACCGGCCCTGGAGTCAGGAGTACCCAAGTTCAAATTTGGCCTCAGACACGTAACACTTACTAGCTGTGTGACCCTGGGCAAGTCACTTAACCCCATTGCCTGGTCCAAAAAAGGGAAAAAAAAGAAAAGGCATTGCTTTTTCTCTTCCATCCAGGCCTTCAGCTCTGTCCACTGTCTGCCTTATAGAAGAGAACTGGAAGAACTTCTCTTCCCCATTATTAGCAGTAATACAATTTGATAAATTGAAGCTTCCTAGGAACAGGGAAAGGAAAGTGAGACCTGAGTTCTCCTATACCTTGGAGATTCCTGTTAGATGATATTCCTGTTAGATGATAAGTTGCTCTTAGATAGGTCTTCTCCTTCCTAGGTATAGTGCCAGAGCACTAGGCAGATATGTGGTGGGTGTTTAAAATACAGGTTAGCAGACTACACTCTATTATCTATGAGGTCCCTTCTTCTGAAGGGCTATGTTCTATGTTCTAAGCTATTTTCTACATGTGTGACCTTGGGGAAGTCATAATCTCTCTGGGGCTCAGTTTCCTCATCTTCAAAATGAGAGGGCTAGACTCAATAACCCTAAAGTTCCTTCCAATCCTAAATCTATGAAGCTATTATCCTCATCTGTAAAGTGGGTAGATCAGACTGGAACTCTAAGGTTCCTTGCCACTCAAATTCTGATGATCTTATCACCTGAAAGTTCCTTCTACCTCTGACCTACTGCATTCTAGGTTCTAAGGCTCTTTCTAACCCTAATGTTCTATGTTCTATGATTATTCAATTGTTTAGTTAAAATGTAAACTCCTTAAAGATAGACAGTGTCTTCCATGACTTTGTGTATTATCCAGCCCAACATAATGCTCTGCCCACAACAGGTTTTGAAAATACATTTGTTGAGGTTATCCTAAGATAAAAGATTCTAAGAGTCCAATGAATCTGTGAGCTCATCAATATAATTTTTCCCTACTATGATATATATCACATCCCGTCTGGGCCTTCATTGTGCTTTCTAGGCTATTCTTATCCCTGTCTGCCTAGAAATCCAACCCAAAAGATCCATCCAAAAGGCTGAATTGGGTGAGATCTTTCCAATCATCTCTCTCACTCTCTCTCTCTCTCTCTCTCTTTTTTTTTGAGATCAGGGTTAAGTGACTTACCTAAGGTCAAAGAGCTAGTAAGTGTCTATGGCCACATTTGAACTCAGGTCTTCCTGACTTTAGGGCTGGTGCTCTATCCAATGTGCCACCTAGCTGCCCCTCCAATCATCTCTTGACATTGAATGAATATCAATGGAGCAGGGAGGTCCTTTTATAGGTGATTATCCTTTTCCCTTTCTGCATGACTGACCTATCTTTCCTCCTGCTCACATATGTCTTTGATAACACCTTTTTTTTTCTCATTCTTCCTTTGCCCTTCTTTATTTGTGATATATTTTAGCCTACTCATGCTGGCCAGGTATACTTAAATGCAAAGAAGGGCTGTATATGAGTGTCTGTTGCTGCTATAGGTTGCCAGGGGTAAAGCCAAGATGGCGGAGTAAAAGCAGTGACTTACTTGAACTCCCCCCCAAACCTCTCCAAATATCTGTAAAAAATGACTCTAAACAAATTCTAGAGCAGCAGAACCCACAAAAAGACAGAGTGAAACAAGTTTCCAGCCCAAGACAACCTGGATGGTTGATAGGAAAGGTCTATTGCGCCTGGCTGGAAGAGGAGCACAGTTCAGCATGGGACATGCAGGCAAAGACTGGGCCTCAGCAAACCTGAAGCAGGCTTCAGGGGACTGAATCACTAGGAGCTGCAGAAGTTTCCAGACTTCTCAGCCCACAAATGTCAAAGACAACTTAGAAGATCAGTAGGTTAAAAAATAAAACAAAACCAAAAGAAAAAAAAATAGAAGACAATGTGAAATATCTCATTGGAAAAACAGCTGACCAGGAGAGATAATTTAAAAATTATTGGATTACTTGAAAGCCATGATCAAGAAAAGAGCCTAGATGTCATCTTTCAAGAAATTATCAAGGAAAACTGCCCTGATGTTCTAGAACCAGAGAGTAAAATAGACATTGAAAGAATCTACCAATCACCTCCTGAAAGAGATTCCCAAAGGAAAACCCCTAGGAATATTATAGCCAAATTCCAGAGTTTCCAGGTCAAGGAGAAAATAGTGCAAGCAGCCAGAAAGAAACAATTCAAATATTGTGAAACACAATCAGGATAACAGAAGATTTAGCAGCTTCTACATTAAGGGATCTGAGTGCCTGGAATATGATATTCTGGAGGTCAAAGGAGCTAGCATTAAAACCAAGAATTACCTACCCAGCAAAACTGAGTATAATCTTTTGAGGAAAAAAAGGATATTCAATGAAATAGAGGACTTTCAAGCATTCTCGATGAAAAGACCAGAGCTGAATAGAAAATTTGATTTTCAAATACAAGACTCAAGAGAAGCAACGAAAAAGTAAACAGAAAAGAGGAATCATAAGGGATTTATTAAAGTTGAACTGTTTATATTCCTACATGGAAAGATGATATTGGTAACTTAGGAGACCTTTCTCAGTATTAGGGTAATTGTAGGGGGAAAAAATGTATATATATATCTATCTATATGTGTGTGTGTATTTATATGTACATATGTGTGTGTATATATACATATGTGTGTATACATATATATATATATATACACACACACAGAGGACACAGGGAGAGTTGAAGATGAAGTGATAGTATCTAAAAAATAAAATTAAGGGGTGAGAGAGGATTATACTGGGAGAAGGAGAAAGGAAGAGATAGAATGGGATCAATTATCTCACATAAAACAGACAAGAAAAAGCTTTTACAGTGGAGGGGAAGTGGAGGACGGTGAGAGGGAATGAGTGAATCTTACTCTCATTGGATTTGTCTTAAGGAGGGAATAACACATACTCAATTGGGTATGGAAATCTATTTTACCCTACAGGAAAATAGGGGGTAAGGGGATAAGGGGGAGATGATAGAAAGGAGGGCAGATTAGAGGAGAGGGAAATCAGAAGCAAATACTTTTGAGGAGGGACAGAGTCAAAGGAGAGGATAGAATAAACAAGGGTGGGGTGGGGGTGGGATAGGATGAAGGGAAATACAGTTAGTTTTTCACAACATACCTATTATGGAAGTGTTTTGCATGACTACACAAGTATAACCTGTATCAAGTTGCTTGCCTTCTCAATGAAGATGGGTGGAGAGGGAGAAAGGGAGAGAATTTGAAACCGGAAAGTTTTAAAAACAAATGTTACAAATTGTTTTCACATGCAACTGGGAAATAAGATATATAAGCAATGGGGTATAGAAATCTATACGACACTACAGGAAAATAGAAGAAAAAGGGGATAAGAGAAGGGGGGGCAGTGATAGAAAGGAAGCAGATTGGGGGAAGGGGTATTCAGAATGCATGCCATTTTGGGGTGAGGGAAGGGGAGAGATGGGGAGAAAATTTGTGGAAGTGAATGTTGAAAACTAAAAATAAATTAATGAAAAAGAAAATTAGGCAGCCCCTTCAGTACAGGGCCATGCCCAGTGCACAAGACAGATGTTTTTCTCTCTCTCTCTTTTTTTGGAGGCAATTGGGGTTAAGTGACTTGCCCAGGGTCACACGGCTAGCAAGTGTTAAGTGTCTGAGGCTGGATTTGAACTCAGGTCCTCCTGACTCCAG